AATGGTACTCTCAGCGATTGGTCCGTCGCACACTCTACTCTTCTGTGGTTCGTCATTTTTCTCATTCTCTCTCTTTTTCGGTTTCGCTGTAATCGCAATATGCGGGGTTCTGACGTGAATGTTTTGTTAGGAGGGGAACTATCGCGCGCCAATCGATGTTTGGAAATCTCAGTATTCTAAATATTACTACGGATGCAGTGAAAGGGGACGCGGTTATGCTCGTGAGTTTCCTCCTCGCAATTCCGTTTGAATGCGTCTTATTTCTTGAATTGCACTCCGGTGTTTTCTTGTGCCTTGGCATTCAATGTTTTCACTTTGTTTTGAATACTCGCACATGGTTCTCGCTGACCTATGCACGTGAATGAGGGTTGGAGTAAAAAAATTTAGGTTATGCGAGAACAGACTGAAGGGTTTTTGTTTTAAATTTGATTATGTTGGGCATGAATGAATCCTAAAGAGTTGATGAGAAATATGTATACTAACTTTTTTTCATGTGTCTTATTCTCTCTTGTTTTGGTATCCGGATAATGCAGCTGCTGTGCTTGAGCGGTGGTCAAATGGATACTTGCTTATTGGAACTAGCGGAGGACTGAACCAACAAAGAACTGGGGTGAGTGGGACATAGCGATCCTGATATGGTACATTCTGATCATTTGAACGTTGTATGTGATGATCTGCCGTCTTAGTTGCTTAAGCAACTAAGATGACCGTTGTTTGCAGAGAAGTTCTCTTTCCTAGTCAGGCATATAAGCTATTTTTTTTAAACAATGAGTATGTTCTTTCCGTGGACATGACCGCTATCATGTTCCTGCGTCCAGATAACAGATGCTGTTGTTGTTGCGCGAATTCTCAATGCCACACTAGTTGTACCTGAGTTGGATCATAATTCTTTTTGGAAGGATGACAGGTAATTTGCAGTTCCTTTCATAGATTCACAATCAGAAAAAGTTTGTTGGTTCATTTAATAAAGACATTCTTGTTTGGATACAGTGACTTTGTCCATATTTTTGATGTTGACTGGTTCATTTCTCATCTCGCAAAAGATGTTACCATTGTCAAAAGAGTTCCTGATAAGTTTATGCGGTCGATGGAGAAACCACCATATACAATGCGTGTCCCAAGGAAATCAGAGCCTGATTATTATCTTGATCAAGTTTTGCCCATACTTTTGAGACGGCAGGTATGTGGCCACTATGTATTTGAAATTTCTCAATTCATTAAAACATATTTAGATTTATTAAATAACTGTCAAGTTGAAACATTAGTAACCGGGTTTGTCAATTTAGTGAATAATTCTGAATTTAGCCCAGGTAATAAACATGTAGGAGATTTTGCAGGTTGTTCAATTGACAAAATTTGACTACAGACTTGCAAATAACCTCGATGGTGAGCTACAGAAACTACGTTGCCGTGTCAATTTTCATGCTTTGAGATTTACAAAACCTATACAAGAACTTGGTCAAAGAATTGTTATGAGAATGCAGAAGATGGCACGGCGTTTCATTGCTGTCCATTTGAGGTTTGTTTCATGAACCCTGCGCACAATTTCCTTATAGTGCTCTGAAATTTGAAGGTATTTGTTTAATTATACTGTGTGCTAAAGAAAGAACTTCTCAAATTCAATATATTATTCCCTAATATCAAGTTCAACTTCTTGTTCTCTCAAAATTATTAAATATTATAAATGACACAAGTTTGGGATGCAAAGAGCAACCTTGCCACTGACAACAGTGTTCATGACTGATTTATGACAGGTTTGAACCGGATATGCTAGCATTTTCACGTTGTTATTTTGGTGGGGGAGAAAAGGAGAGACGTGAGCTTGGTGAAATCAGAAAAAGGTGGACAACATTACCTGTAAGACTACACAATCCATGGACTTCTAAATATAAAATCTGATTCATTCAACTAACAAGATTATAACATTCCATCTGAAGGCATTGAGACCAATATTTTATTCCAGACGCATTGCTTGATGTGCTTTCTAATTACAAATTTAAGCATTCCATATAAGACTTCTAAAAGTTGAAGCTAATTATTTTTACACTGAAATGATATGAATGAATTATTTTCACGTGATAAAACAGGATTTGAGCCCAGATGGAGAGCGAAAGCGAGGGAAATGCCCTCTCACTCCTCATGAAGTGGGTTTGATGTTACGGGCACTTGGCTTTTCAAATGACACATATCTCTATGTTGCATCGGGAGAAATATATGGGGGAGATGAAACCATGCAGCCTCTCAAAGATCTTTTCCCCAACATCTATACAAAGGAGATGCTAGCTGATGAAGAGCTGAAACCATTCCTTCCATTCTCTTCACGCCTTGCTGCTATTGACTACATTGTTTGTGATGAAAGTGATGTATTTGTCACTAACAACAATGGTAACATGGCCAAGATTCTTGCAGGTCGAAGGTAAGTGCATATAATTTCTCTACTGTCCTCCTTTTGTTTGTTTAGTGCATCAGTGAACTTATCTCTTAAACTCAAACAAAGACAATGAATAAATGGTTCTCCATATGTAATGGAAACACCGGAATCATAATTATGATTTTTCTGTTATGGAATGTAGCAACTATGTTGGATTAATAACTCTTGAATTATATTCATAATATTGATTTTACTTGGATTTATGAAAGCATATCACTCCTTTGAATTGAAATAATAGCAAAATTAACTAAAGTTTACTTAAATTAAACAACTTATTTAATATCATAATTTTACAAGTCTCATTTAAAATATAACTTATTTTCCTAAAGTACCCTTGTTTATCAAGAATTAAGATTACTGAAAGTATCTTAAATAATTAGAGGGTACTTTTGGAATGGTATCATTAAATAAGATGAAAGTAGTTAAAAATTTACTTATATTTGAGTCCATCAAACCTTTTTTTTATTGTGTTGCTTATGGTTGAGTCTGGAAGGAGTGTATCGCAATTTGTAGAAAGAAAATGAATAAATTATACATTTAGCATCTGGAGTCCTGAACTTCAAAATTATCAGAAGGTACAGGGTATAGTAAGCAGATCGGGTTGAAAATACCCTAGGTGATAATAATTCAATCAATTCAGACTTCAAATAAGATGAGATCTCTATCTTATTACTTTCCCACTTCTATTGTTGATCATTGTACTATCTCTCGCAACATGAAAATGCTGGAGAGGAGTTGATTTTGTACTGGGAAATCACATTTTTATTGAGATGTTTGGAGTTAGAAAAATCTGCCAAACCATAGGGACTATTTTGAAAACTTCAAGAAAAATTACTGCTGTATTTTATATTTAGCTTAATTGATGATGTCCTTCGCTAAGGACCATTTTCCTAGTGTGGTTTAGAACATTGGCACTTTGATTTAACTGAAAATAACAACCTATTGAGAAGCCAAATCTTTGCTTATATATTCAAGCATTTAAACTAACTTGATTAATGTATACTGTCACTAATTATGTTTTCAAAGGGTCAATAATTAAGGGGATTCGGACGTCCTCGTTTATAGATAAGCAGTCATGTAGTTGATTTCAGTTATCTTTTTGTAATGCAAAAATGCTCTTGGAAAAAGCATAACTTGTTTCTGTAGGTTTCCAGTAAAGCCTTTGCTTTTTACAACTATTTTTATAAGCCTTTTGCTATTAACAATTCTTTCAGAGGCTCTTTATTGTCATGGGCATTATGGTTTTTTTTTTTTTTGCTGCTACGTTATGCTTGCTAGTGACTCGCATTTTCTCTCTTTTTTTTTGGCTGATTTGCCTCCTGCTGATAACCATTCATTTTGTTTACAACAGGAGATATATGGGCCACAAAAGAACAATTAGACCAAATGCAAAGAAGCTTAGCACGCTATTTGAAGCAAGGCATCAAATGGACTGGGATACCTTTTGTAGAAGGGTTAAGTCATGTCAGAGAGGATTCATGGGAGAACCGGATGAGATGAGGCCTGGACGGGGAGAATTTCATGAATTTCCTAGCTCTTGCATCTGCAAGAGACCATACATTGAAGAACTCGGTGCCATAAACCTGACAAAAACTGATTCCTCGTTGAATGGAATTAGAAGAAGAGGCAGTACGTGAAGTTACTTTGAATCAGAGCTGTTATCGTCTGGTCGGGGGCAATCAGAGTTGCCACTCTCTCTGTTTAATGCCAACTGAACGTCAATTGAAAATTGAATGCTATGGCAATGCGTCCATTTTCGCACGATCGATCCTTGTAAATCATGAGGGGTCCAGTTCTTAGGAAGGTGGCTCAGTTTAGATCCTAAGGACGTCGATGCGTTGCAAACTGTAGATATATACATACATATATATGAATATATATGCTTAGTTTAGTTCAGATATTCCTTCCTATCTTTTTTCCCGCCTTGTCTCCTCTCGGAATTGGGTAACACATTTTCTCTCATTCTGTTCACCTATTCTCTATCCTCAACGATCAAACCGATTCAAATACTTGAAACCATTCACTGCTCAGGTGCAATTACAAATGGAAAAATTAAAATTGAAAAACTAGAGTGCGAGTGGCATGTATGTATGTATATATTTTACGTGTGTGGGCGTAGGCAAATATGTATATATTTTCTAATGTATATATATATATATATCATGAGAACTCCGAATGTAAAATATAAAAATAACAAATTGTTACATTTAAAAAGTAAGAGCTAAGCGATTGATTTTCTCGAGTAAACTTTCCAAGTAACGGGATTGATGTATAGTACAAATTTGAAATACCAATAATTGAGAAGCATTCATATAGTTAGACTAGTTTCCAAATTAATAACCAAACATTTTTAAAAATACTCAAGAGTTCACGTTACTTAACCTTTTAATTCTGATTTAAACTTAAAATTTTAAAAACAATCAATACCTTAATTTAATAAAGTATAAATTTATCGTAATAAAATAATTACTTATAATATAGATATGTTGAAAAAATATTTATTATGAAAACAAACATTCCATTACTCTGGATAAGTTGTAAAAAAAATAATTAGAACAAGAGGTGGAAAGGCGATGCAACGATTGGCATGCAGAGCATGACGTTATGATTTGATGAACAAACCTCTACACACAAGGTAGATGATGAGATGGAGAAATTTCCATATACAGCACAGCCTACGGATCAAATCACATTAAAATAAATACTAAAATCAACATGACCGACCGTCTACTGAGCTATAGTCTGCCTAAACATATGAAGCAAGAATTTCCATTCCTAAGTTGGTTGGTTGGTTGGTTCTCTATTATAAATATACACATCTATGCTAGCTAGCTATGTCACAGCCCGCTCCTTTTCACTGTACCCCATCATTGCAATTCCCAGCTCCTTCTTCCATTTAACCTGCTGTTGCAACTAAGTCACTAAAACAGTCCCACCATACACACATATTAACCTCACAAGAGTCAAATAGATGATGATACTCACCCTTAGTATTACGATTGTGTGAAACCGACGGAATCTTAGATATGATCAAAGAGCTTTGCAATCCTTCTAATAGCTGCAACCCAGCCACCAGCCACCAGCCACCAGCCACCACACCAGATCAGATTCAAAAACATAAGGTCATATATATATTTAAAATGGATTTCTACTTCGAAGAGAGAGAATAAAATAGATTACACAACAGAAAAAGAACCACTCAGTTATTGAAACTTACTCTTGACGTTGGCTGGATTCTGCGATTGGATCTGCGGGGCTCAATGACATCAGATGCTGATTTGATAGGATTGTCATTTAAAGCCTTATCGGTGTCACCTTTACCCATCTTATCTCGGGCAGGCGCAAGTTTTCCTTTGCTTGCCCTTGATGAGGATGCCCTTTTAGGTGGAAGGATCTCAACCAGTGATGAATACAAAATTGGTACTTGAGTTGTTCCATCGGTCGTGGAGTGGGGTGCTCTCTCCACCTTACTTTCGCTCTGGGAAGCATTCTTTAAGTGACTTGAATAATCCTTTATCCTTTCCGTCGTACCTGTCAGCAAAATGGCATGAGAAAACGAATTTGATAAAGAAATGTTTTTTGCTGGAATTACTACCCAAAAACACAGTGGTTTTCCAGACTCACTTGTCTTGGCCTTGGAATCGGCTCCATGTTTCTCTTTGGAGCCATTTTTCCAACCTCTGGCCCCTGAACTAGGAGGCATCAAGAAATTTGCTAGTTTAACCGAATCACTTGTATCATTGGCCTTGCTGCTTTCATGTGCCACGTAATGCTTGCTTACTTCCATAAACTTTCTCTTCTTCCCGGGTTTAGGAACACCAAAAATTACTTTTGATTCTTTTTGAAGACCGTTCCTCACCGTTCTGTGTGCATCCAGTTTATTTTGATTCTTGCTGTTCTTACCAATGTTAAAAACTTTATCGTTTTCAGTCAAATTAAGTAATGTCATTTCATCAGGTTTTGCCGACTCCACAGCATCAAAGCCTTTCGGCATTTTGTCTTTTCCTTTTACCTCTACCGCATGAGTACCCAGTTTAGGTCGTTTTTCTTGCGGTGTATCACCCTGTATTAGAAAACTTGAAAGCTGGTAAAGAGAAACATAAATTGGGGTACTAGAACACTCTAGAAGAACCTAAAAATAAAGTACCTCATGTGTAGAACTATTATTTGCTCCCACTTTGGAAGATTCAATCCATTTACCATCCTTCCAAACAAGGGATGGACGGAGATGCCAAGCTCTGACAACCAATGTTTCTCTAAAAGCTGGATAAAACCAACATTATAAAACATTTTCCAAGAATACGGAACTAATGTGCTTTATACCTCAGTAATAATTAAGAACCACAGAATACCAAAATGTTTAATTAAATAACGTACATACCAGGAAAGTGAACAGTATATGTTGTTTCATCCTTTTTATTCTTCTCTGTGACTACTCCTTCCCACCAGCTGATGACAAAAACTAACATGAGAGAACTTTAACAGATATTTATCTTGTTCAGTTTTAATTTCATAAATATTTATGCTTTAAAAAAAATATTGGAATAGTCATTTGTTCATAAATACAATATCTAATTGAACCATCATACCTAATATATTTAAATTACTTGGACAGAAAGAATGAGAAATGATATAACTAAATTAGAGGAGAAGATGAATAAAAAATATCCTAATTTCATATGACAACAAAACCAACACCATCTCCATGACGATGCAAATCAGATGAGAAAATATCATATATCCATACACAATAAGTTAAGTTGATACTGAAGAAATGGCCATCATTAATAGATAGCTACTTAAAAGAACTATGTATTAGCAAACCTTTCTCGTAACCATGCATCAACTCTATCCCCAACTGACCAAGCATAATCTCCCATAGCAGCTCTGCGTCTCTTTCTCGTTCCTTCATATTGTAAAGCAGTAACAGGGCGAGCAGTGCGTATTCTGGGTGGTTTGTCTCCATCACATTCAAGTGATACCCATTCTTTCAAGGGTCCTGCACCTAAAAGATAGCAATATTTTTAAGCACAATAATGAATAAATACACTAATAATACAAAATTGAGTAAAATGTAAATGAAAATAGCTCACAAGTCATTGTCATCTAGATGTACGAAGGCCCACAAGACATCAAAACCATCTCAATTTTTTTTTCATGATTTATCCAAAATTAATTCTAGCCTAAAGTATGAATTAATTTATGAACTTTGCCAACTAATGAATAAGATGCTTCTGTTCTAATCAAAGTACAGGCATAAAGATACTTGACCAACCTTCAGCAGCTACAAGTGAATTGTAGCATACATATGCTTTACCATCCTTCAAACTCAAAATATTGGCTGGAAACCATGCGGCTTTAAACCCTTCATCATCCCTAAAAACCTGAAACATATAATAGCTTCAGTTTATTAGGATTATAAAAATGAAAGAGTAATATATTTTTCAAAATGAAAAGAATGCATTCCAATTTAAATAAATAAACTAATGCCACGGCTCACAAAAGCAAACATTATAAAATGAAACAATGACCATTAATCTGGTTACTTTCACTACCTCTATATAAAAGAAAATAAAAAATAAACAATAAATAAAAATGAAAGCAACCTCTATGAGTAAGCCTTCCTTGATGCTACTTCTATCCAGATTCTCAAATCCATCACTAACATTAAAAGGAGCCTCAGTTTCAGGCGTAGATACATGAACCTTATCAACAGGCTTGATTACATCAGAAATAACCTTGCGCCCCTTTGATCCTCTTGATTTCTTTTCATTGACCTTAATGGAAGACGAAATTCCACCACTAGATAAAATGTCTCTGTTTTGAGCAAAAGAAGTTTCAGGAATATCTATTACATTGGCAATGTTCGCCATATCTCTGGTACTGTCTTTGAAATTTCCAAATTGCTGAGAAGAGTCCCGGGCTGATTTCAAACATCCCTCTGGGCCAGCTTCTACTAACTGGCTTAATGTCAAAGGATCACCCATACTTACAATCTTTCCTGCTTGAGATACAGCTTCCGCTGCCAGCTCAGCAGCCTTAACAATGGCATCCATATTTTCAGCTCTTTTAGTGGCAGCTGAAGCAGCATCCACTCTCCTTTTAACAGCTTCTTTGGCAGCAATAATGATAGAACCAGGACTGCTAGTTCCATTAGCACCATTCAAGATGGAAGCAGGGGTAGCTTTACCCAAGTTATTGGTACCGTCAGAAAGAGAAATTTGATTACTTTGACTTGAATTATCATAACCAGAAGAAAGTAATGCTTCATCAGCCATTAATTTTGCTTGAAGAGCAGCATTTGATGCAACATTGGCAGCTGCAGCTGCTGCCTTTGCAATGGCAGCTGCTGCCGCAGCTGCAACTGCTGCAGAAGCTAATTTAGCCTCAATATCTGGCATCAAGCCAGAATTTTTATGCTTATCCAACTGATTCCATAACTCTATGCTATGATTCACTGCAGCAGCAGACAGGGCAGCAGCCTCCTCGGCATGATCTTTTGCCTCCTTAACTTTCATAAGAGACTCATCTGACATAATTCTTTTCTCAACATTTTGATCATTTTTTGATTGATCAACAAGAGGAGATACAGACACAACTGATTTTTCAACAGTAGTTATTGGCACATTCCCACCAGGGGCCACAACTGCAACAGAAGTAGATGTATGGCTACCAACAGCAGGAGCCAATGATTGCAAATCCCTCTGGCCAAAATCCTCAGATACCACAACTTTTTTCCTTTTTTTGGGCTTTGGATCTGAAGAATGTTGAGCAGGTGATACTGCCATATTGTTTGCATCAATCAAAGAGGCAGCTCCTGCAAAGATACTTTGAAAAGCTGCACCAGAAGTAGGGAGAGCAGAAGTAACATTCTTTATGCCAGAGGAAGGAGGCTGAGATATTTTGATTGGGCCTAGCTTAATTGTATCTGAGACAGGTGATGCAGAAATATGGGTGCTATTGTCAGGTACAGGAGTTGGAGAAGCAACCCATGTTCCTCGGAGGGGTGTCTGGGATATCCAAGGTGTGTTAGGTCCAAGAAAGTTCCTTACAGGAGTAGTTTGATAAGGATGCAATGGAGTAATTGCCTGTGGATAATCCATAACAGAACCTCTTGCAAGGGCACTAGACTGCAGAGAATCACCACCTAAACCCAGAGTTGATAGACTCCAAAGGGGGGATGAAAGAGGTATTAAGGGGTTTACAATTGGTGGAGTAGCCTTGTTGCTGGTTCGACCAAGTGGTGAAGAGATACTTTTCCCTTGAATAGCACTTTGCTTAGGCAGCAAATCAGAGCTTCTAGCAACTGCAGATCTCAATTTCCAGGAGTTAATCAAACAAGTCAAATAACATCAAAGAACAAGCTATATAACAAAAAATACCAGATCGTGGTTGCACAGGTGTTTCTGGGTTAGCAGGATGAGATTTTTGACCATGTTGCCTTTCCATGCAGGCACGCCAAGCATTCTCCCAAAGGTTCCTACCACCATCTAAACACAATGTCTAGGAACTCAATATTTATTTTGATCAAACAACAGTAAAGAACATGTCAGGGAGTCATGAAAACAAAAAAATAACCTGATCCCCCAAAGGCTGATATCATGTAAGCCTCATCCGGTACCGTGCCTTGACTACAGCAACATAAATAAGATAAATAAATAGCAAGTTATTTGTTATTCCACAAGATGCAGAACATTAATAACAATATCATGCAGATCTAAATGGACATGGTGACCTAAGCCTCAAATATCTTTTTATCAAATAAGGAATAGGTTTAAGTTCTACACAGCAATTAAAAGAAAAGGGAAAAGTATACAAAGAACCAAGATTTTCCAACTTTTCAATTAACCATAGGAGTGTGGATGTTATGTGAAGTCTTAAGAAGATAGTAAGCGAAAAAATGCAGATTTTGGATCCATAATCACATGCACACATATCATCCATAACAATTAAGATCTATACAATATTTGAACTCACATCAAAGCTCCATAGACAAAGATCTGTGCACGTAATTGTACTTGCTGCACATCTGTGAAAGGCTGATGAAATAAAACAGGAGGAGAAGCAGAAGTGTTCAAATCTGGAAGGCTAGATGTTGAAATATTTACAAGAGCAAATGCCTTTGTACTATTTGGCTCAATGTGCCCATACTGCTGCACCTCATTTGACTGCATCATCTGGAAACCTGGAGGCGGGCTCAGGGAAACTTTGGTTGGTTTATCACCTCTGTCTGACTGTCTAGCCAGAGTAGTGTCCTTTGCATGACTTCCTCTTCTAGAAGATTCTTTTCCAGCACTCTTATTAGATACTCGCCTAGTTTTGCGCTCAGGTGTAGCTTTAGAAGCACTGTGTACAATTCCTACATCTGATATTTGTTGATTTCCATGAGATGATTTTCTAACGGCTTTGGTTTTTGAAGGACCTATCCCAGAAGTAGGAAATCCCTCCATAGCCTTCAACAATAGTGCAAAGAGAGAAAAAAAACATGAAAAGTATAAGATCATTTGTCATTCATAATGTACACAACAGATCATACCGGCCACACATTACACATAAATAAGCTTTTAAGAAGTCACCTTATACGTTCAGGAAGATGCACAATGGGGGAAGAAAAGACAATAAAAATAATAACAATAAGAAAGAAATCCCTTAGTTTGGATTGTAAACTGCAACAAGACTTACTGATGATTTTTTTACTGTTTCAGTAACAGGAATTGATTGCATCTGGTCAGCACCTTCTGTATTCACATCTGCAACATCCTTTTTGGACAAATCAGTCACTGAATTTACCTCAGGAGTTGAGCTTCTTTCATTTTTAGATGAATTGTTCTCCTTTAAATCTTGAGCAGTAGACAATGTATCTTTTGAACTACCATTTATTATCTCAGAAACTTGGGTGTTCTGTTTAGCAGAAGCCTTGATTTGATTTTTATCTTTTCCAGTGTGAGAAGGACTTCCAGGTGTGCTAGAAGGATCACAACTACTGTTTGCAAGAAAGCTTCCACCTCCAGTCTCACGTAAATCAATGCAAGAGATCGGTACAGATGCAGAAGATATAGAATCTTGGTTTCCAGGTGCAATGTCATCTACAAAGTTCACATTGTAATGGGTATGAAAACATTTGAAGAGATCTTAAAATAGAAAAAACATACAATGAACATAATAAACTAAGACTCAAACTACAAAAAATAAAACTACCATTATGACATGGTTATTTATCACCCCTGTTACAGATATAATAGTGTAGCATCTTTATGGAAACTATATATAACATAAAGCTATGGATTAAAAACAGTGGTCATCATTATCATTACAAAGCCAAGACTGACACATAACACACATGAAACCTAGAAGAATAAATTCTTCTTAGGGTCAACACATTTTTTTCTACTATTTACTTTTTATGCCTGAAGATTCTCCTTGTGGAAGGATTTGTGGTCAATATCTATTTTCAAATAAAATTTCTGGCTTTTAAACTTTCTACGGCACAAAGCTCCAATTGCTCCGTTCTTTGTACACAGGATTCCTCCAGTGCAAACTCAACTTCTTCAGATCTGTTCGCTGCGGCATTTTTTTTTTCTCCACAATGTACCGTTTATTGACAGGCAGTTGTGTATGTATGTTTCTTGAAACTTATGGATGACCAATCCTGTCCATTTAGATATCTCTATCTTCCAATTTATTTGACTTTTTAGGAGAAGCAGTGAACAATGATAGTGTCCATGCTTTAGTTTATTAATTTTTCTATCCTTCCATGGGTTTCATCTTAAGGTAGGACTTTACTTCATCATGTATCCAAAGGAATTGGATAATTCTCTTAACACCATGGTAATGCTGTCATCTTGTTACCCTGCTACCTATTATTTTTTCTTCTTTTAAGTGAGACTCTTTATTATCTTAATAAATTCTTCGGTTTAGTGTAATACCATCACAAAACAAGGGGCTTTCTAGTGTGCACCATGATGGTATTAGGCATGAGTGAAACAATAGAAATTTCAATAGAAACAAAAGTACCTTGCAAGAACCCAAAAACACATTAGTGTTGCCCATGTAACCCGTAAGTTTGAGTGTTACAAGCTCATAAAGTTTACTATCATATTCTAAATCGCATGGGATAAGAGATTTAGAAATTTAGTTATAATTTTTCTTTGCACAATTGGTACATAATATGAGTACAAGTTTATCAATCTATTAGCTGAGAAACTGGATCATGCAAAGTCATAATTTATCATTACAAAAAAAATATTTACACAAAGTTGTTTAGAACTCATGAGGTGATCTTTAACCTAACATTTAGTGCACATACACATACAATCATACTCTTTCTAGAAATTGTATGACATAAATAGAAAGGAAGGATGAACACAATCGGAATTTTGAGAAATATTTAGGCCATCTTCAACATAAAATTTAACAAAAAACATAAACTACAATCAAAATCATTGTGAGAGTTGTAATGCACACTGTTTCTAGAAATTGTAAGACATAAATAGAAAGGAAGGATGAACACAATTGGAATTTTGAGAGATCTTCAATATAAAATTTAACAAAAAAAATAAACTACAACCAAAATCATTTTGAGAGTTGTAATGCATTATTAGATAGAGTTAATTCATGATGAATACATAAAAAAAGAATCAATGACAAAGTCACTAAATTTAGACAAAACTAAAATGACTTGCCACCATGTAATATATATATGTTTTGTCCATGTTTTATAGCTGATAAGGAAGTTATAAGTGGACAAAAAAAATGGATTAAAGATTACCTAATTTTTCTGAGGAAGGCTTATCAGGATTCTCCTGCACAGTCTCCTTTTCATCTTTAATCGAAGAGACTGCAACACCTTCACTCTTGTTGTCCGAAGATGCACATATAACTTGAGGAATACTAATCTCTTTTGCACATTCTGGAATAACTTTATCATTTTTTGTTCCTTGAGGTTCACCAATCTTTACAGCACTAATAGTTCCTAAATTCTCTGATAACAGTTGACTAGAAATATCAAAAGATTGGGTTTTTTCAGCTCCTGTGACAACAGGACAAGGAGCAGTTTCCCTTTCAGAAGATCCAATAATGGTAGCTGGGCATGCTTCCCCAGCTTCTTTTCCTGCAGATTCTTCATTTCCCTTGGCAGAAGAATATCCAACAGGAGTTATCCCTTGAAAATCATTGTGACTAGTAACTTCATGACTGGAAACAACTTCGCTAAGAGGTGGAATGTCTGCTTCATGTGATGTCAAGCTACTATTTTGCAAAACAACTTGTGAAACTGAAATAATGATGAAAATAAACCTTTTAAGTTAATGAGTTACTAGGAATCTGATCCAAGATTAGTGTAGGACCTTTTACTATATCAGTTAACAAGTGACACATCATTGTGGTACCTAAAGCATTGTTTAGTTTAAAAAAAAACAATTTTTGCATATCTAATTTTCGCTAATAATTATTAGGCGTTACACTGTTTCATAGTTTTCAATGATTTACACAAGAAATTGTGAAAACAACATAGTAGTATTTATTAGTGAAAACTGGAAATGACATTTTCTCAACCCCAACAGGCCTAAGATTTTCACCTGTAGTGCAAGGATTTTAAAATATTCATTTTGATTTGCAAATACAAAGATTGAATACCTATACCGTACCTGATTTGTTGACAGGTGTAGAATGGGTTGATATTGAGGAAGTCATCAATTCAGTTTCCAAGCTACTTTCACTAAGACATGATGAAACCACCCCCTTATCCACAAGATGGGATTGATCAACATCACAATCCATTTGGCTAGAATCAGTAGGAACTCTTTTACTTTCATCACTGTCATTCTGTCTGTCAGATTGATTGCTCACACACATTTGAGTAGAATCACCCAAAATGGAAGATTTTGTTGAAACAGTCAACACACCACTGCCTGAAAAACCTCCTGCCCTATTATCACTAATTCCTTCACTGATAATAGAAATGTTATTTTCCTCCGCTGTAAAGACAGATGTCTCCAATTTGCTTGACAAAATATTTGTATCCACATGATTAGCAGTGTTCAGCAGCTGATCCTGATCATTGACAGAGACAACTTGTTCGGATTTTTCATATTCATTCTGTCTGTGAGGATCATTGTTTTCACATAGTTGAGTAGACTCACCCAAAATGGAAGATTTCGTTGAAAGGTCGGTCACACTGCTATTTGTAAAACCTACACTATTGTCATCATTTCCTTCACTAGTATTGGAAATGTTGTTTTCCTCTGCAGTGACCATAGATGCCTCAACCTGGCTTGATAAAATCACTGTGTTCACATTACCACTAGTGTTCAACAGCTCAACTTCCTTAGTAACACTGCTCCCATCATATATCATCTTAGTGACATCCATATTTTGCTGCATATTGGGAAGATTTTCACAAGTGGAATTACTAACCTCAACCACTTGCCCCTCAGAGATTGAATCATCTTTAATTGATATTTCTGGCAAATCATGTGTATTTGGTACAGACTGATCAGTCATTACCACATCTTTAACCAACAATAAGTCTTCATTTGCATTGTTCTGAGACTGATCACCACCTTCACTGCTTTTTTCAGCTTTCTGCAAGTCAGACACAGCAACAGATTCCATTCTCCTGGAATTCTCTAAACTACCTAATCCACTCTGAAGACCATCAACTACAACCCCACCCTCCAAAGTCACTACTGCAGGGATTGATTGAAGGGATTTATCCAGATGGTGCACATCACCCCCAACAACATCTCTTTCCTGAGTCTGTGTGTCTACCAAAACAGCTTCATCCATCACAGAAGAATGAAGGGATTTATCCAGATGGTGCACATCACCCCCAACAGCATCTTTTTCCTGAGTCTGTGTGTCTACCAAAACAGCTTCATCCATCACAGAAGATTCCAAATCTTGATTATTAGTATGTTCTTGAATAGGACCTTGCTTCTCATCATGCATATTATTCATAGAAGATTCAGCAAAATTAGTATGCACGGAAGATGAATCACCTTGAGTTTTGATAGGAGATGAATCATCATTAACTATCTCAACTTCTGTTTGACTTGAATTTTTATTTTTGTCATTAATATAGGGAGACAAACTCCCTTCAGACAGAGGCAAGTCATAATTTCTACTGATATTACTTAGTTCAGGATTACTTGAAGTTCCATCAAAGGATAATTCCCCTTCACAGCCTTGGGACAATCCATCCCGAGGCTTATCCATTCCTACGTCTTCTTTCAATTCAGAAAAACTTGTATGAGTACCACCAGCTGGATGTATATCTGAAATACTGTCTTTAAATTCATTTCTGTCCTCAAATTTGGGATTGGTGTCCATTTGCTTAGCTAAGCAAGCCAGTTCATCACAGGCATCTGATTCCTGAATAACTGTTTGTCTAGGAATATAGTCTTCCTGTCCAACAGATTTTAAAAGCATTTCAACAGATTCTGAGGAAGTGGCCTCTGACCAAACATTACCATGCCTTGATATAGTGCAAGATTCAGCTGCAGTTGAACTGAACTCTATTCCACTACCACCTCGAGAGAATGCGTCAATCCACTGGTTATCTTCGTTGCTTTCAATGCCAAGGAAAACTTCAGTTTCTACTAAACTATCAAATCTTAAATTTGCTTGAAGGCTTTCATCAAAATCAAACTTGGGAAGAGCATATGGCCTTAATACTGGAGGAAACTTGGCACTACCTTCACCAGCTAAATGGAGATTCTGGTTTTGAAAATCATTGTCATCATAATCCATGGGTGAATTCCTAAAACAAATATGCACATAAGAATAAGAGAAACAACAGTGATAGAGACCTTAAACCTGATAAAAGTATGTGTATGCATTGACAGAAAGACATCCAAAGATACAAATTCATAAAAGTAGACAGAGGTACATACAAGATCCATCAAATTCATCATCCAAGAATAAGCAATAAATTACACATTCCACAAGTATGCACAAGTATGGAAGCAAAAAATGCATAGAAATTAAAGAATAATTGTTGTCAAGTTTTCAGCAAATTACAGCACCAACATAAAGCAAAAAAAACATAGAAACTCAAATTAAAAGAGCAAGAAAATAGCACAAGTTAAAACATATAATCACAACCCTATAATTCAAAGTTTCAAGGCTGCCACACTACCTAATATAGCCAAATAAAAAAAAAACAAATACCATGGTACTGTTAATTTAGGTTCTGCCATTGTAATGATCCACTTTGAAGGGTGAGGAAGTAGAAAACAATCCCTAAGATTTAAAGGTTGCCTACTGATTAGAAAAGTGATTTTAAATGTGGAAGATAGACCTGTATAACTAAGTACCAAATTAAGATTCCATAAATGATTCCTACAGGTTAATCTTTACTGTCATACCGTGAGAAACTTCTTATGCAAGGGCCTTAGTTGCATCACCAACCTATTTATTAGTCTTATTAAAAACATGGCAAGGTCAAACATGCATACATCAGATAATTTTTTTCAACAATCAAGAGTACAAAATAAAATAAAATTTGGATCCAATTGAATTGTTTCCTTGTTCCGACTGACTATGAGAAGAAAAATAGAAAAAAAAAATTACACACAGGATTTAACTATTGTAAAGTACCAGGTAGTTGAAAATTTCTTTTATGCCTGAATTAGCCCATTAGAACAGTTAAGTAGAAAGTAATAATTTTTCAAACGAGACTCACCATTTCAAAGCAAAGGAAGCAAAAGTCTTAACCTAATCACAGCAAAGGAGAAGATTAAGAACCCAAAGTTGGACATGAACAGTACCAGAACAAGTAAGTCTAGAGACGCTACCTCCCTCCATCCGGCGAGGAAATCCAACCCTCGTGATCTCACCTATTCCCCAATCGTACAGTCATCTACTCCCTTCAACACAGAAATCTGAGTGTGAATGCAATTTCACTGCAGAAAAAAAAAACAAAAAAAGGAACACTGACAGAGTCAATTGAACCTCACCCGTGGATTTCCGGCAGATCAAATTAGGGTTCCGGCTATGATGGTGAGAGTTACGAGGAAGAACGCAAAGGAAACTGAAAAGGTGTGGGAGTGGATTTGTTTTGTTGTTCTTTGGGTGTGGCTGTGGAGAAAGCAGTGAGTGGAGAATTTTGTTTTTTTCCCAATGAAGAGAAAATAAGTGTCAGCAATGGGAATCCAAATTAAAAAAAAATGGGTTTGTACGTAAATAGTGAAGATTGATGGCCAAAGAAGGTGAAATTTGACACGTGGATGGTCTCTATTGGCGAATGTAAAGTATCTAGTTTCTAGGGTTAAGCATGGAACCGCTGTCCCTGAAAAACAGTGTCACTTCTTAGGATGGCTGATTCGTTATTGAATAAGATAAGAGGGGCAATTAAGTGTCGCTCAAATTCGTATGCTCTGATCCAACCGTTCCAGGAGGAGATTTAAATAAATGATCAGAGATCCGCAGTTCATCCACGGTGGTTTTTTCAATTTTAATCCAGTTATTAGTTCAATTAAAGGCAAATGGAAAGTACTACTGACATATTATTATGGATTATTATTATTATTATTTACAATTATAAGTCATCCTGAACTTAATTTAATTGGATCCAGTTTAATTAGTGATTATTTAAAAGTATATGAGTTGAATTGAATACTTAAAGCTTATTAATTATAATAATAATAATGTTAATAATAATAATGTGATGTTATTAATTTTTTTACCCTTCAAAGTACCATTTTAGTTAAATTTAACTGTTTTTTAAAAAATTAATTATTTATACCCATATATTTATACTTATATATTTATATATAAAAATGATTTCTTCTGTACACTTTTCTTCAACTTTTGTACTTCAAATTATTGTTTAATTTAAATTTAACAGTTTTTTTTTTTAAATTTAAGTATTTTTTAAATTAAATAAATATAAATCATCATAAAATAAATAAAATTATCTATAATTAAATTGTGCTTATTTTTGTAATTATAATTTTATTGTTTTCTTATTATAAGTGCACGTTCACTAATTTATTCTAAAAAATTCTATTTATCCGAGAAAAAAATCATAATTTAAAAGGATATATTTTATTTGTCTTTGTTTTAAAATAATAAAAGAAAATTTAGTGTTTTTTTAAGATGAAAAAATAAAGGAAATGATTTTCCATATATAAACAAAGTTATTGAATGAGTATAAATATATAAATATATTTACATAAGTTGTTGAATGTGTATAATTTTCCATATGTAGATGAAAAAGTGTGATTGAAGTATAGGGATGTAAATATTTAGACTCCTCTAACAGTTATTTGTGAGTGTGCTTATTTTAAAAAATAGTTATTCATTACAAATTTCAATATGTCTTGTATGTTTATTTCAAAAATAAAAATAGAGAAAAAAGGTTTTCAAAAAATAACTTCTACCTGCCTTCCAAGAAAAAAAAATATGTGAAAGAAAAGATAAAAACTTTTTCTTAAAAATACACAAATTAATAAAAAAAAGTTATTCTCTTTCATAGTCCTTAAATAAAATATCTTAGTTTGTTTTGTGAATTTAAAATGATGACCCTAATTTGTTTATAAATCATAAAACTATATGGATTTTCCAGTCAACTGTCAAACACAATATTTTTGTTATGATAATAAAAAAAATATAATTAAAAATAATTACGATAATAAAAATAATTTTAAAATCAGTAAAAGTTATATTAAAATTAAAAAATATATAAACATAAAACCGATCTAAACCTAATATTTAATTAATTGTTTATAATAGTATATTTATATAAAAGGTAAAATTGTAATAAAATATGGGATAAAAAAGTATAAATAAAAAAGATCATTTTATATGGGTGATTTATTTGGATAATAAAAATGATTCTATAAATATAGAAATATAAAAGATACAAGAGGTAGAATAAATAAATTGTTATTTAAATTATTACAAATAAAATAAACTATTTGCTTGTAAAGTTTAAATACGTTCAATATTTTTTTATTAGAGACTATTTACATAAAATACACAAATTTAACTTGTTTATTATAATTTCATTAGATTAAATAAAAGTTTAATCAAATTTAATTTATCTCAGATTTTACAAACACTTACAACTTTATTTACATAAATTATATAATCAGTCACCACTGTTGAGATGAGCTTCAGGTTGTCTGTTGGAGAGGAAAAAAAAAAAGCCAAACTAATCCCACCCATCACTTCTTCTCAGAAACCCATCTTCTCAGAACGGAGTAGAGGAAGCACGGCGGAGCCGGAGTAGCGGCACAAGCAGGTTAGTCTTCTGGGCTTGAAATGTGTGAATTAGGGCTTGAAATTGGGGACTTTGGGATTTCCTTTTTGTATTTACTCTCTCCATCACATCTGTCCTCTCTCTCCCAATCTCCGGGTGTCGACCTTCGTGTAAAGTGCAGACAACCCATGCCAGAATAGAACCGAATGGTTGGAAGGGTCTTGATGGTTGCGGTCTCGGTAGGCCGGACCATCAACAGTATCGATCTGAGAGTTTATGAATACTAGAAGGTGTGTTTCGAATCTCGGAGGAAGAAGGTGAGATTGGATGGTTTGTGACAAACCCGTTTAGTCTTCAAAATATATTATAAAAAACTGAACAAAAACATTTAGGTCTATTTAACAATAAAAAAGTAAAAAAATTGAAAAACTAATAGGTCAGTTCGCCGGCCTGATTAGTGAGTGGACGGGTTGGATATCTTGACCCATTTTGTAATGTTGAGCTTATCCCATCCGACCATTTTGCCAACCTATTTGTTAGTTTAGTGAGATGACCATAATGTATGAAATTAAGACATTTTTAAAGTACATAAGACTAAACTTTTTTATTGAGAAAACTATATTTTTTTTATAAAGAAACCTAATGTCTAGTTTACCCTTTGTCATTGGTGGAACCACTTGCTCTGATCTATAATTTTTCACTGTCTTAGATCTGGTCTCTCTCTCTCTCTTTCCTATTTCTTTACACTTGATTGTTGCCTATAGCTTCAGGCTACACAGCCGGTGCCATTCTTGCCCTCTATGTCTCTCACAGAACACTGAAAAAGTAAATCTTTCCAATAAGTTCATATTCTTTTTAATTTGTCAGTCTCCATTCTTCATTTTATTTGTTCAGTTGGTTCTTTATTTATTTATTTATTTTTTAATTTTTCACTGGAACTACACAAGAGAGCACTGTGTTCCACAAAAGTGATATAACCTTACTTACAATTAAGATTTTTTTTTTTTACCTTCATGATTGACAGGTTAGATAGAAAATTAATGTTTAATTAGTTGGAGCACCCCTACCACTAAAGTTTGCATTTTAGATTTTGAGTGTTTATGATTCTTGAGATCCTTTGAAGCAAATATATTATTCATTTTCATATCATGCATTACCTTGATTTAATAATAGTAAATGTAAGTATTTAGTTTTTGGAATTGGTGATATGTCTTTTGGTCCAGTGTCTAAATAAAGAATGCAGCTCTGTTTAAGGTGATTCTGACTGTTCTACTTTTTTTCCACACCTGGACACTGAAAATGTATACATTGCATGGCTGTATTAAACTATTATTTTGGCTATTGTGTTGTTAATCATTATGCATTTAATGGTTATCCTTCCCAATTTTTCTCAGCTCCATTACCCACCTCTGCCGGGTAATTTGACACCTTATTCAGTTTGATCCCAAACCGGATCCAGCCCAAGTTAAACCCCAATTTGAAGTGAATTTGGTAGATTCAAATATGAAAAGAATCCATGCTTATATTTGACCAAACCTTAGGTGCACAGCTTGGCAGCTGCTTATCACCAGCAATCTCTGAATGTACTTCTAGTTCTACTTTTCATTTACCATGAATTTCTCTTTCCTTCTTTTTATTTTGGACTTTGAAGAAATCTTGTCCATTGGTAATTTTGAAACTGCAATTTTGGATGTCACACAATTGATTTGGGACTGACCTTTGATTTTAGAGCTCTATAATCTTATTCTGTTTGAAATTGCTGACAATACTATCAGTATTATGGTACTTCTTAATGAATCAGTAAGTTGCTTAAATTGACAATGTCAGCTAACAATGACTGTGCTCCAAACAAATGATGTTTGGAGTGTGCTAATGCTATTGTTAATTGTGTCGAATCCAATTCTGTGTAATTTTTCCATCCAACTAACAACAGTTCCTCATATATATGGTGGTTATTGGCCAATTATGAAGGTGTATTAATGTGATTAACATACATGTGTTAGGGTTTGGTTTTTCGGTGATTGTCAATCTATTCTCCATCCCTGTTGATCAAGAATGCAATTCTTTGGGGGTTCTGAGATCAGTCCTTCACCTCCTGCTCCAGCAGCTCCAGGAAACAATGGCCATATGATGTATGTGTTTAATAGGAATGGTGTGTGCCTGCTCTATAGGGAGTGGAATCGCCCCTTGCGGACATTGGATGCCCAACAAGACCATAAGTTAATGTTTGGTCTGCTTTTCTCTCTGAAGTCTTTAACTGCCAAGATGGATCCCACCAGGTATGTTTGTCTTGTGGATTTCGAATAAGTGCCAAATCATCCTTCCAGCTATTCTAATCCTATGTTTACTGTTTAATTTTACTTCCACGATTAATTTCTGAGTACAAAAAAGCAACGTATCTCCTTAAAAGTAATTTGAAGATTGCATATACTAGTAAAGTTTGAAATGAAATGAACTTTATGTCTGTTGCAAAATTTGCCATGTTGCCTAGCAAGATATTTTGATATTTCTGGTGAAGTAATCACTGTTCTTCAATGGCTTTCTTGGAAAGACGGCATAAATGAACAATTATTTCTTCAAAATAAGATAAATCAAACATGTGCTAACTCTTCTAGCTGCTGTTCTTATTCTCTGAAGAACTGTTTTGCAGCATATATTATTTTCTTATGTGTTGCATTCAAATTGCTTTTAGGTGTAAAATATAAAAGTGGTAAGAGATGACAAACCTGCTATTTAAAATGTATACTTGCTTCTTTCTCCAAATAGCAAAATAAACATGTGAATAATACTTATTTACTGTAGACCTTGCTAACATATGTAAGTTGATGTTGTTTGATGGTGCTTTCCTTCATAGTAACCAAGCTTGGTTAGTTTGATCACCAGTAATTTAATAGGATATTTGTTTGTTCCAATGCTCTTTTATTCTTTATCCTTATTTTAATATGTTTCCCATGTTCCTTATCCTTATACCCTTATACCACATCTTATCTCTTGAATATTTTATGCTTTGCATGATTATAATTGATTATGTTAATATTTTTACTGAATTACTACCAGAGTAAAGATCAACAAGTCATGGATTGTATGGTGGACTTTTGGTGTAATCAATAAAGGAATACATGTTGCATGTTGCACTGGCAAGTTTAATTAATTATGCTCCATATTGTTGTGCAGTGCTGCTGAGAAAGGAAACCTTGGTATGCCTCAGTTACCTGGCCAAGGTTGTTCATTTCACAGTTTCCGCACTAATACATACAAACTTAATTTCATGGAAAGTCCTTCTGGAATAAAGGTCAGCTACAATAAATCTTGGGTTTTATTTGTATGTTTGTTAGAGAGCCTTATGGATGAAGTTACTTCTGGTCCTGAGGTCTAGTGCGGAAATGTTTTGCACCTTGGCTTTTGTTCATTTGTTCATTGATAATTGTAGCTATTTGACACTTATTCTCTATTTGTATGTTATATTCATATATTAATCTCTTTTTGGCCAGAAAAATAGGTTTATTGACATAATTTTAAATGAAAACTGAAGTGGCATAGAACTGGAAAAAAAGAGAACAGGATAGAGTGAAAGAAATATTATACACCATGATATAATCTTTGGATTTACGAATTTTGGCCTGATCTAATTTTTTGAGTTACTTACAAATCCCATGTATATTTGATCAATTGTGAGGATGATTAGCTTCTGTCCCACTTCATTGTTTTTAAAGCGTGTTTGTTAAAATCAAGAACAATAAACTTGCTTATAAGATGCATAGGTTAGTGTTTACCATGCCGCGTAGGTGATAAAATGGTTTAGAAACTTCAGATATGGGTATAAATAGTAGTGAATTTTAGTTTAGTAGATTTCACTAAATTTATCCTTTACACGTTGTTTGGTTGTGAGTTTCCTCAGGACGAAATTAAGATAGGGTGTTTGGTGGGTGAGAAAGAGAAGGGAATAATTTGAAAAACGGTAGGAGTTACTGTACTATTTCTCTCTTTATTTTTAGTCAAACTCTGCATCTATCTTCTGATCGCTTCTCTATTTCTCTTTCAATCAAGCACTTTTAATTTTAACTTTATTTTCCATTTATTTCCACTCTACCAACTTATTTTTATCCATCCTTTTTCTCTCATCTTTACCAAAGAGAGCATTAGTAGTTGTCTTAAGAAGTTGTGCAAAGTAAGATGGACCGCTTAACACCAGCCACAGTGGTATCTATTTTTGCAATTAAAGAGACGTATTACAGCACTGATAAATATTACTTAATCATGTTATACTCTCTGGAAAATAAATTAATGTAGTGATCTTCATAATTTCATATATAGGTGATTCTTATAACGTACCTATTGTGACTCTGTTCTTGCTTTATACAGATAATCTTGGTGACTCATCCTAGAACTGGTGATCTACGGGAATCCTTAAAGCGTATCTACAATTTGTATGTTGATTATGTTGTCAAGAACCCGCTTTATACACCTGGATCTCCTATTAGGTAACATAATTTATTCTTCCCTCTAAATGACATATTTGTCCTCTTATCAGAAGAACGACATATCTGTTCTGTGAACGTGGTTTCATAGTGTCATCCGCGGACAATATCATCATTAGTTGACATCGTTCTATGTCTCATTTGGTTTTGAGGAAAAAAAATGGAGGGGATGAAAGAAAACTTGAAAAAATAGGTAAAAAGTAAAATTGAATGTTTAATGGTTTGATAGGGCAGAAATAGGTGAAAAATAAAGTGTTTTTGAAGGTTATCTAATTTGATTGATTTGATAGAAAATAAGGTGAGAGATAGAGACATCAATAAAATTAAATGAGAAAAAAGATACAGTGCTTCCCTCTATTTTATTATTATTGTTTTCATATTCTCCCTCACCAAGCAAACAAAAAATACTTTGTCCCTCACTCTTCTCTGTACCAAACAAAAAGTTAATGTCGAGGTTCAATACTGATGAAGGTGAGCACGTGATACGTGGTTAGGCACACTGTTGACAGATTCAAACCCAAACTTTGCTTAATGTATGGAGTTAGGCCAGTGAGAGTCTAATGTAGATTGTCTGTTCAAGGAGGTAGACTAGTTGAAATGTTTGTAAGCTGGCATAGGTACCACTTGAGTTAATACTAGACATCGAAAAAGAAAAGTAGGGCAGGGCCATAATCATTCAATCTTTATAATTATTCCCAGTAAGTTCAGAGCTATCAATGTGGGTTGCCAGCTAGGGTCAGAAAGCTCGCTTGATAAATTTGCCACCGAAACCTTGATCCTAATCCTAACCAACCCCATGTTTGCATGGAGTTCAGCTCACCAACTACAAAAAAGTATATTTAAATTTTAAATGAACTCAATCCATAAATTTCAGAAAGTCATAATCTTTTCCTAGATCCTATATAGTAAAGTCAAACAAACTACGAACAATTTATATTGATTAATACAGTAAATAAGAATAGAACCTACCCCCTCTCATTAGTATCTACTGTCATCTAACTAGGTCACTACTAGTCGTGGCCACACCATTTTCTGCAGTACGGCTATGCTCAATAGATTGCCGTATATCAATTAAGGCCACACCGATACTACTGGTGCGACCATAATTGAATTCAGTGCTTTGGCTAGTGATGTGTTCGACCTTAATTGAGTTCAGTGCTTTGGCTAGTGATGTGTTCATCCACGACAGAATATCGGCTTACAGCCTATCCACCTGCACATTTTGCTATGATTTAATATGTTGTATTTCGTGATTTTAACTAATACAACATCATATAACCTGAGAACATGGAGTAGATTTATATGTAATTAATGTCTAACTTGTTATCATATTTTGTCAATAAGTGTAACACTTGTTTTCTGTTTATAATCTGATATATTTTTGTTTTTTATCTAAGCTAATTTGTTGCTAGTTAATTATTTTCCCTATTAGCTAAAATGGTCTGAGGAATTATTTTATGGTTTCATAGATTTCCTTGTTGCCACGAAAAGCTTTTTGACTGGATAAACTTTTAATGGGTATTCATAGGTGTGAGCTGTTCAATACAACTTTGGATCAATATGTGCGAGGCATTGCGTAGAAGCTGAGTTGTCTTCATTCAACACTGTATATGACTATTGAGGTATAACGCCTTGTTTTGCATGGTGTATGTTGGAGGCATTGTGCATTGAAGCCGAGTTGTTTGACTTGTTTCCATCAAACACTGTTCATTTCATTGATTTTATTGAATCCTACAATTTATGTTACCCTGTATTTCTCTTCAAATATATATAACAAACTCAAGATACCTAGTGTGACACATGATTAGGTAGGATCTCCAATTTTGTCCTCAACGCTAAGATTGGGAGCATTTTTGGATTAAAATCTGCCTTCTTAAGTTTGAACTGTGTTTGACAAAAATCTGTTTGGATATTTTCTGTTCAAAAGTATATTGATGAGCATTTATTTGGATAATACTAATCAAAGTACTTTTAGTTGATGTTATAGTTGAATAAATATTGCCATCATGAAAAATGAAATTTCAAAAGCAGCTCGGACTCTTATTTTTCTGTTTGGGGTGCCTCAAACTCAGATTGGAGAGTGAATTAGTTTGGTAGCATGTTTGGCTACTCTTAAAATTACCCTTGCACGTTAAAATTTTGTTTGAAATGGTACTTAGAGACAACTAAATACTTGCTTTGGTTTGATGTGCATCAATCTTCTCTCAACGTGCAACTAAACACATTCTAAAATAACTTCTCTTGTTTAAACTCTTCCGAAATTTAGAGTACTAAAGTTCGTATAATTTTTACGAAAGACTTTCATTTTATTTTCTTTTTTCAACGTCATAGATCTTATGCAACTGAGTTAAAGATAATTATTTTCGGTAACTTCTACAATTGAAATGTTAAAATGAGTTTATTGGTAACTTCTACATTCCTATAAATATGCATTTTATTATTTATTAAAATTTATTGAAAACAAAGTTGAAAGATTCATACAAAAAAGTAAGAACTGCATTTATTTTAAATTTTTAACTTTTTTCATCTAATAACACTGTTTAAACATTATCAAACATTGTAATGAGATAGGGCTTTGTAGATGATTGATAGGTCAAATACAAGTCTGATCAATGAGAATATACATACTTTTTTAAATGACAGCGAAATATCAGGAATAAAAGAGAATTAAGAGGGTTTGTACGAACTCTCTCTAGGTCCTTAAATTTGCTACTCCTAGTAGTACCATTTTCTCATTCTGACTATGGATCTATGTGCATACATAACATGCATATGTCATCTCGTCAAAACTTCATGCAAAAAATGAAAAACTGCTGCATGCTACTCGTAGCCCCTTCACTTTTTTATAATCTTTTTTATAAACAGAAAACCTTAATACGAAGCATAAGTTATAAAATTAAAACTCTCAATTTAAGAACTAAGATTCTTTTATTAGATATTCTTTTATTAGATATTCTTCCTTTATTCATCAATAAAGTCAAATTTTTAGCACTAATTCTAAACAACTAAAAGGAGCGATGTCCAAACAAATTTTCAGCCCTTTAATCCAAGTACTTANATTTTCATCTAATAACACTGTTTAAACATTATCAAACATTGTAATGAGATAGGGCTTTGTAGATGATTGATAGGTCAAATACAAGTCTGATCAATGAGAATATACATACTTTTTTAAATGACAGCGAAATATCAGGAATAAAAGAGAATTAAGAGGGTTTGTACGAACTCTCTCTAGGTCCTTAAATTTGCTACTCCTAGTACCATTTTCTCATTCTGACTATGGATCTATGTGCATACATAACATGCATATGTCATCTCGTCAAAACTTCATGCAAAAAATGAAAAACTGCTGCATGCTACTCGTAGCCCCTTCACTTTTTTATAATCTTTTTTATAAACAGAAAACCTTAATACGAAGCATAAGTTATAAAATTAAAACTCTCAATTTAAGAACTAAGATTCTTTTATTAGATATTCTTTTATTAGATATTCTTCCTTTATTCATCAATAAAGTCAAATTTTTAGCACTAATTCTAAACAACTAAAAGGAGCGATGTCCAAACAAATTTTCAGCCCTTTAATCCAAGTACTTTTTTATATTTTATATTGTCGACAAAAAATAAATAAATCCAAGTATGCTTTATGTGACACTGAAGTTGCCTGAGCAAAACAATTAGATATACTTGACCTTACGATTTTAGGATAGAAAAAATTAACCATATATGGTAGTAGTGTGATCAACATTTCTATACTTTTGCTCACCTACATCCACCAAGAACTTATTACCGTTTATTATTATATTCTACAACTTCCAAGTTAGGCGGCTACATTTATAAAAATATTTAGATAGTAAGTACCAAATCTAACACAAGAAAAAATTAGTGTTAAAATGTACAAGAAATTTCTATGAACACCTACAATTAGCTTCCTCGCTTTCCTCAGAACAGTGAAGTCTAAAAGAAGTAAATGACCTCTTCATTGCAGTAAGATGTCATAATCATACCCACCATGGCTTGTCTATTAGATCCTTCGACAACATGTACCTGAACCGAGAACTATAAGGTATCCATTCGATGATCTGAGATGACTTTTTATTGGATTTACGACCAAGGCACTTCTGTATTGAATCATGGAGTTTCTTGTCAACACTTTCCATTGCCCATCCAAGGAGATCATCTAGACTGATTGACGCTTCTCTAGAAAATCTTTCCACCAATTTAGGGAGAAAAACTTTGCTTGACTTCTTTACAATTACATTTGCTTGAAGAAACTCCCTTTTGGCAAAATTCAGCTGTTCTCTTATATTTGATGCAGTGTAGACCTTTAGCTGCAGCTCAGTAACAAGAAGAGTCTTGATCAACAATTTAAAATTAGGTTATAAGGGAGCAGGAACTGATATGGATGCAAATTTGAATATCATACCCTATATTTTTGGAATTTCTCTTATTTACTACCTTTTTTTTACTTACTATGCTTCATCAATCCATCAAACATTGATTAGGATGCAGACTCAAGAAGATCAAAGCCCTAACTAACATTACATTTTGCCATTGATATTAAAACTGCAATTCTTGGAAAAAAGTAAATAAAAGAAAATTACCACAGGATCAGACAAAGCCCCGGTGCAAAGGGCAAAACAAACAAGGGGTTGAAAATCATTAATATACAATTTTGAGCTGATAAACTGCTTTTCGTCACCATTTTTCTTCCTCAGAGCTGCAGCCACAAAGCTTTCGAGCCACTGTGCTTGATAAAAAAAAATAATAATCAGATGAAACATGAGAAGCCATCCTAACATCAAAATTTGGTATTAAAATTTTTCACTTCAAATTCTCTTAAAAAGATCATTATAATACAAGGAAAATAAGATTCTAATGGAGTTCTAAGCATCTTGCTCAGAAAATAATTATATTAAAACTTCTTGTGGAGTCATGGTCTTCTCTTTCCAAATGAAAAGCAAACCCTAGAGCCCTTCTGGTTTAGGATAAGTACTAGAGGAAACAGTCCAATTCTGCTTTCTTCCCTCTAGTGAGCTAATCAAACAGGACAAACTCATCCTATTCTGTTCATTAAGTTAAATTTATATAGAAAAGTAGGGTTAGGAAAAGTAATTACATAGATAAACAATGTTTTCCCCTTTCAACCTCATCTCCAGAGAACCAAAATCACATGTCTTGTCGCTTTCTCACAACAAAAATAACAATTTATCAACGAAGACTATAACTATCATGAGTGTTACTATTTGAACTATTGCTCAATTGTTTTTCCTTTTCTGTTGCTGTCCCCAGTACTTCCACCAGCACCACTATTGTCCCACATCTACTGCCACTACCATCCCTCTCCTGATTACCACCATCACTGTCACCCGTCCTTTCGCGAGGAGAATTTTGTTATTTGTGCACAATTTATATTATTATCTACCATACTGTATGACACCTATCAAACACTAGATTAGATTATCTTATCTAGCTTATATCTTTGCCTACATTGACATAACTTTCTTATCCGCCCTTGTCTAATCCTGTCCAGAAAACAACCGTATTACTTTAGAAGATCATTGGTGATGGGGATTGTTAAACCATAGCAGTGCAATACCAATTTAATGATATCCACGTTCAAACGGATTCATTAATGACCTTCTAAAAAAATATATGCTTGCAAGCAGCAGATGCAAATCAAGGGAAGAATCTGTGATTTGTAATAACCCTTGGGTCAAAACAGAAAGGCATATATACATACACATAGAGTTACACTATTTGGATCAATCAAAATATTCCACCATTTAAATGCACAAGGGTCAGAGGAGTACCCGTCCAATGCGGGGGGTTCGAAAGCCAAATATTGCTTGTTCAATGGCATTTGCACTTATGATATGACCACCAATATTGTAAGCAGCCTGCACTACACAATTGCACTTATCATTTCATATTTTCCACAACGTATCAATTAAAAAATAATTAAGAACAATATTGTACCGGTGAGAAATTGGAAGGCCTAAAGGTGTATCTCAATGATATTATGTGTTAACTAACGTAAGTTACTACCCATCGGAATCTAAATGCCTCCAAATAGCGAAGCATATTTAGATGATATGCCTTTTGACAACTTAATCCATGTAAATGATAACAAGTAATCAAGAGTAGGTGAATTGGAGTTTCTTTTTCTTCCTCCTACAAAGACAGAATTTAGTTTATGTTCCATGTAGACGTGACTGTTTCTTTGTAATTTGTTGGATTAAAAAAAATGAAATAAACATTATTCGGACATGGTTTCTTTATAATTTGTTGGATTAAAAAAAATTGAAATAAACATTATTTAGATATGGTTCCTGGTCTAGGCACAGCAGTGAACCCAACAAAGATTGGCTGATGGAAGACACTTCAGGAAAGTATTATCCTTCGTAAGTTTTAATAAACATTCTTAAAGTGTTAATAACTTGGAGCTGACTAAGTAGAATATCCAATTGAATAAAGAAATACACTACCTTGTGAAACAAGGCCAGCCTCTTCAGAGAACCCTGGGGAATTCCATATGCTAAATATGCCTATTATCAGTAAAATAAAGTTATACATTCTGAAAGTTGGCTAAATAAAAATCATAGTCATGTGAGCGTGAATATTACATGCATCACAAGAGCATTATGCACATTGATCCAGAACGCAATCTGTCCATCATGTTCCATTTGACTGATATTCACCCTTTCGAGCTGTTCAACTAGTACTCTGAAGGAAGTGAGGAAGGAACGGGTTATGTCCACAATTTAATCATTATAATCTAGGGAGTGGTTGGACAAAAATAACAATTACACAGAAAACTAAAACTGAAATTTTTTCCCTTAATAGACTGTCAGTTAAGCAGATTAAGCAAACTTTTTGTGTTCTCTAAAAGATTAAACTGTAAGGAATTACATTACGTTTATATAAAGGTTTCAAATAGTTTCTTTAAGAGATATTATTGATGTTTTCCTATTTTATTTATTGGCTCATCCTTCATATGATGAACTACATTTAGCAGGACCTTTATGAGGCAAAATTTTGCCATTTATTTCTTAAGATTGTTGCTCTCGCATACTTTCTAATTTATTCATATATGATATTATCTTTTTCTGTATTAACACTTATGTGCTGCATTATTAAGTCAGCACACACCTAATAAAATAAAGTGCATTATGAACCAATAAAGTCATTTGACTAGCTTTAACTGTTAAGCCCATTGTACNTTGGCTACTCTTAAAATTACCCTTGCACGTTAAAATTTTGTTTGAAATGGTACTTAGAGACAACTAAATACTTGCTTTGGTTTGATGTGCATCAATCTTCTCTCAACGTGCAACTAAACACATTCTAAAATAACTTCTCTTGTTTAAACTCTTCCGAAATTTAGAGTACTAAAGTTCGTATAATTTTTACGAAAGACTTTCATTTTATTTTCTTTTTTCAACGTCATAGATCTTATGCAACTGAGTTAAAGATAATTATTTTCGGTAACTTCTACAATTGAAATGTTAAAATGAGTTTATTGGTAACTTCTACATTCCTATAAATATGCATTTTATTATTTATTAAAATTTATTGAAAACAAAGTTGAAAGATTCATACAAAAAAGTAAGAACTGCATTTATTTTAAATTTTTAACTATTTTCATCTAATAACACTGTTTAAACATTATCAAACATTGTAATGAGATAGGGCTTTGTAGATGATTGATAGGTCAAATACAAGTCTGATCAATGAGAATATACATACTTTTTTAAATGACAGCGAAATATCAGGAATAAAAGAGAATTAAGAGGGTTTGTACGAACTCTCTCTAGGTCCTTAAATTTGCTACTAGTAGTACCATTTTCTCATTCTGACTATGGATCTATGTGCATACATAACATGCATATGTCATCTCGTCAAAACTTCATGCAAAAAATGAAAAACTGCTGCATGCTACTCGTAGCCCCTTCACCTTTTTATAATCTTTTTTATAAACAGAAAACCTTAATACGAAGCATAAGTTATAAAATTAAAACTCTCAATTTAAGAACTAAGATTCTTTTATTAGATATACTTTTATTAGATATTCTTCCTTTATTCATCAATAAAGTCAAATTTTTAGCACTAATTCTAAACAACTAAAAGGAGCGATGTCCAAACAAATTTTCAGCCCTTTAATCCAAGTACTTATTTATATTTTATATTGTCGACAAAAAATAAATAAATCCAAGTATGCTTTATGTGACACTGAAGTTGCCAGAGCAAAACAATTAGATATACTTGACCTTACGATTTTAGGATAGAAAAAATTAACCATATATGGTAGTAGTGTGATCAACATTTCTATACTTATGCTCACCTACATCCACCAAGAACGTATTACCGTTTATTATTATATTCTACAACTTCCAAGTTAGGCGGCTACATTTATAAAAATATTTAGATAGTAAGTACCAAATCTAACACAAGAAAAAATTAGTGTTAAAATGTACAAGAAATTTCTATGAACACCTACAATTAGCTTCCTCGCTTTCCTCAGAACAGTGAAGTCTAAAAGAAGTAAATGACCTCTTCATTGCAGTAAGATGTCATAATCATACCCACCATGGCTTGTCTATTAGATCCTTCGACAACATGTACCTGAACCGAGAACTATAAGGTATCCATTCGATGATCTGAGATGACTTTTTATTGGATTTACGACCAAGGCACTTCTGTATTGAATCATGGAGTTTCTTGTCAACACTTTCCATTGCCCATCCAAGGAGATCATCTAGACTGATTGACGCTTCTCTAGAAAATCTTTCCACCAATTTAGGGAGAAAAACTTTGCTTGACTTCTTTACAATTACATTTGCTTGAAGAAACTCCCTTTTGGCAAAATTCAGCTGTTCTCTTATATTTGATGCAGTGTAGACCTTTAGCTGCAGCTCAGTAACAAGAAGAGTCTTGATCAACAATTTAAAATTAGGTTATAAGGGAGCAGGAACTGATATGGATGCAAATTTGAATATCATACCCTATATTTTTGGAATTTCTCTTATTTACTACCTTTTTTTTACTTACTATGCTTCATCAATCCATCAAACATTGATTAGGATGCAGACTCAAGAAGATCAAAGCCCTAACTAACATTACATTTTGCCATTGATATTAAAACTGCAATTCTTGGAAAAAAGTAAATAAAAGAAAATTACCACAGGATCAGACAAAGCCCCGGTGCAAAGGGCAAAACAAACAAGGGGTTGAAAATCATTAATATACAATTTTGAGCTGATAAACTGCTTTTCGTCACCATTTTTCTTCCTCAGAGCTGCAGCCACAAAGCTTTCGAGCCACTGTGCTTGATAAAAAAAAATAATAATCAGATGAAACATGAGAAGCCATCCTAACATCAAAATTTGGTATTAAAATTTTTCACTTCAAATTCTCTTAAAAAGATCATTATAATACAAGGAAAATAAGATTCTAATGGAGTTCTAAGCATCTTGCTCAGAAAATAATTATATTAAAACTTCTTGTGGAGTCATGGTCTTCTCTTTCCAAATGAAAAGCAAACCCTAGAGCCCTTCTGGTTTAGGATAAGTACTAGAGGAAACAGTCCAATTCTGCTTTCTTCCCTCTAGTGAGCTAATCAAACAGGACAAACTCATCCTATTCTGTTCATTAAGTTAAATTTATATAGAAAAGTAGGGTTAGGAAAAGTAATTACATAGATAAACAATGTTTTCCCCTTTCAACCTCATCTCCAGAGAACCAAAATCACATGTCTTGTCGCTTTCTCACAACAAAAATAACAATTTATCAACGAAGACTATAACTATCATGAGTGTTACTATTTGAACTATTGCTCAATTGTTTTTCCTTTTCTGTTGCTGTCCCCAGTACTTCCACCAGCACCACTATTGTCCCACATCTACTGCCACTACCATCCCTCTCCTGATTACCACCATCACTGTCACCCGTCCTTTCGCGAGGAGAATTTTGTTATTTGTGCACAATTTATATTATTATCTACCATACTGTATGACACCTATCAAACACTAGATTAGATTATCTTATCTAGCTTATATCTTTGCCTACATTGACATAACTTTCTTATCCGCCCTTGTCTAATCCTGTCCAGAAAACAACCGTATTACTTTAGAAGATCATTGGTGATGGGGATTGTTAAACCATAGCAGTGCAATACCAATTTAATGATATCCACGTTCAAACGGATTCATTAATGACCTTCTAAAAAAATATATGCTTGCAAGCAGCAGATGCAAATCAAGGGAAGAATCTGTGATTTGTAATAACCCTTGGGTCAAAACAGAAAGGCATATATACATACACATAGAGTTACACTATTTGGATCAATCAAAATATTCCACCATTTAAATGCACAAGGGTCAGAGGAGTACCCGTCCAATGCGGGGGGTTCGAAAGCCAAATATTGCTTGTTCAATGGCATTTGCACTTATGATATGACCACCAATATTGTAAGCAGCCTGCACTACACAATTGCACTTATCATTTCATATTTTCCACAACGTATCAATTAAAAAATAATTAAGAACAATATTGTACCGGTGAGAAATTGGAAGGCCTAAAGGTGTATCTCAATGATATTATGTGTTAACTAACGTAAGTTACTACCCATCGGAATCTAAATGCCTCCAAATAGCGAAGCATATTTAGATGATATGCCTTTTGACAACTTAATCCATGTAAATGATAACAAGTAATCAAGAGTAGGTGAATTGGAGTTTCTTTTTCTTCCTCCTACAAAGACAGAATTTAGTTTATGTTCCATGTAGACGTGACTGTTTCTTTGTAATTTGTTGGATTAAAAAAAATGAAATAAACATTATTCGGACATGGTTTCTTTATAATTTGTTGGATTAAAAAAAATTGAAATAAACATTATTTAGATATGGTTCCTGGTCTAGGCACAGCAGTGAACCCAACAAAGATTGGCTGATGGAAGACACTTCAGGAAAGTATTATCCTTCGTAAGTTTTAATAAACATTCTTAAAGTGTTAATAACTTGGAGCTGACTAAGTAGAATATCCAATTGAATAAAGAAATACACTACCTTGTGAAACAAGGCCAGCCTCTTCAGAGAACCCTGGGGAATTCCATATGCTAAATATGCCTATTATCAGTAAAATAAAGTTATACATTCTGAAAGTTGGCTAAATAAAAATCATAGTCATGTGAGCGTGAATATTACATGCATCACAAGAGCATTATGCACATTGATCCAGAACGCAATCTGTCCATCATGTTCCATTTGACTGATATTCACCCTTTCGAGCTGTTCAACTAGTACTCTGAAGGAAGTGAGGAAGGAACGGGTTATGTCCACAATTTAATCATTATAATCTAGGGAGTGGTTGGACAAAAATAACAATTACACAGAAAACTAAAACTGAAATTTTTTCCCTTAATAGACTGTCAGTTAAGCAGATTAAGCAAACTTTTTGTGTTCTCTAAAAGATTAAACTGTAAGGAATTACATTACGTTTATATAAAGGTTTCAAATAGTTTCTTTAAGAGATATTATTGATGTTTTCCTATTTTATTTATTGGCTCATCCTTCATATGATGAACTACATTTAGCAGGACCTTTATGAGGCAAAATTTTGCCATTTATTTCTTAAGATTGTTGCTCTCGCATACTTTCCAATTTATTCATATATGATATTATCTTTTTCTGTATTAACACTTATGTGCTGCATTATTAAGTCAGCACACACCTAATAAAATAAAGTGCATTATGAACCAATAAAGTCATTTGACTAGCTTTAACTGTTAAGCCCATTGTACATTCTACAATATAAAGATTTTGTATGAAAAATTGTGTGAAATTTAAGTAAACTTTAGAATCTATTAACGGCCTTCCAGTAGTCAGAATTTCTTTTTTGGCCGCAGTACTATAAACATAAATCACAGAAGATTAATGCATTTTGTAAGTGTCAATCAAATAACAGAAATTGTCT